TTGTAAAGGAAAATTTTCCTGTAGCAAGACATGCCACTGAGGTGTCTGGAACATAGCAAGTTACATAGCAGATTGCGTTGGCGACAAGTACTGGTTATGTTTCAACACACTGCAAAGATATCGAGGAAAAGAAGATTTGGGGCATATATGAGTGCATGTCTAGACTATATCTAAATTCTAAATAACCTCAGCGAAAATCATCATGTCAGGGATGATACCCTGAATATGGCAGGTGAATAAATGCCTTTGAGAAAATCTCCTTGCAATGAAAATTCCTAAGCAGGGCCTGGGCCCAGAAGCAGGCTGTGGTCCCTTGAGGAAATAAAGGACAAGCTTTCAGACCTCAGCCTCCCAGATACCTGCTGAGGAGGTGAGAGAAACACAGTCTGCGATGTTAGTGACAATATCAAGTGAAACTTAAACTATGCTGCCCTCTTCTGTGTACTAGATCATTTAAAAAAAAAAGGGGGGGGGGGATTTTATACTTTTTCCTTTAAAGGGAAAGCTTTAATTTTTGTCTCCAGATGTGCATTTATAATTAGAATAACTGTACCTTTTATACAGCTCCTGGTAGGGAGTGATGGTGACCATTATTAAAACATAACTGCCCTTTTGCTTTATGTGCTTAAGTCTGCTCTTGTTCTTTGTACAGAAAGCCCCATTTCCTCTTCAAGAAAGTAAAGTTTGAAACCAAGAGGAAAGCTCGTAGAGAAAGGAAGGGAGAGTTACGAATTTGAGTTTGAAAGCCTTTATGCTACTTTCTACCCTAGCTTAGAATTTATTGTTGTCTTCTCCTGTTGCAAGTGATATCATGGGATCTTTTGTGTAAAATCATGGGGGCAAATGGATGTGGAAGATGTTACTTGTTTTAGGAGAAGCTCCAGAATTGTCTCATTGGAACGTGCCGGGTCTGACAAATTCCATGTTAGTGTAATAAGGCAGCAACAGCCATCTCTGTCTTCCTTTATATGCCTTGTTTCCCATTTTATTTCTGCTATTATGTAAGTATTCTGTTTAGGGGATCCAAAATTCATATAATATGCTAGAATCATAGAGACTCTGTTACTTTCACTTGTCTAAGTTCTTTCTGATTTTATTCTTGTGAAAGTGTATGACAGCAATGATGATGGCAGTAGTAAAAAATGTGACTCCCCCATTTTCAGGGGAGGGATATTGTAGACTGAGTGCAAGTGTAGACTGAGGTGCAATATCTTTCTTCTATAAAGAGGACTATAGGACAGTGCAGACATGAAAAAAATTATTTCATAAAAGAAATGACATGACTCAATTGTAAATCTTAATTTCAAAACCACTGCTTACTGGAATAAGCTCAATCAAAGCACCAGTGCCAAAATCCTCTGGTAATAAAGATAAAACTTTCTAGTCTTGACTCATATCAAAACTATTCTGCATACTTCACCAAGTACAGTGAAGCAGACATGAAATAACTTTATTTCTCTGCTCATCTTATTCCTCCCAAAAGCAATAGCTGGGAATGGAATGTAGCGAGGGCCAGCTGCTGCCATGCTGTGTTGGGCAAGCGCCACAGTTGCTGCTCACATTCCCACACCCAGCACATCTTGTGCTTGAGGACAGAGTTCCCCTCTCAGAAGTTCCTTCAAAAGGCACTTCACAGTGCAAATATTGGGGTTTTAGGCACTTAAAATAGTCTTCCTTAATTTTCTAAATTCCTAATAACCTAATATGATTGGTTATATTTGAGAGATTCAGTGATCATCCCCTTTTCTGTCAATAATGTAACTGAGCAGCATTATTGCCTTTCATGGCATTTTTACCGGTTTAGTGTTAGAGAAGAGATCAGAACCAGGCCTTGATGGGATTTTCCCTTCTCAATACTTACTCACAGCATAATTAACATCAAGCGGGGAAACGCTTCCCTGGCATCACTCTCACGTCAGAAACATTGAGCGTGTGATTTCAGTGCCTGCTCTCACACCCTGGCTGATGAGCACACTGGATTTCTCCTCTGCAAAAGCACTTTCTTTTCACACACTTTTTTTTTTTCCTGCATAATCCTTCCACAAGAATTCATCTTTCATAAGATGTACCAAAGAGAGGGTTATCTATTTGCATAGACACATCAGCACCACCAGAAACGTTCAGATGGGTCTGCAGCCTTCTAAGGTAACAGCCGCTCGTCGCTAGGCAACAAACAAGAATATAGTATTTTTCAAGAGGGAAGGTTTTTCTACATGATCTCATTCGGTTGCTGAGCTTTTTCCCTTATAAGAAGAAAACTGTTCATTAGACAAATGAGTCTGTCATCCTGTCATCATCAAGCCATAGGGATATATAGGCTTCCCCTAATTATCCGCAAAAGAAAATAGCGATGCATTGTCAGTGGTACCTATTTATTTCACTTTTACATATTGGTAAGTTATTTCCCAAAGGCTAGAAACCACAAAATATTTTGACAGATTGCCCTAAGCATCAACCTGGTTAAAATGGAATGCTTCAGCAGTTACCAAGTCAGCTGAGATGAATCAAATCTCAGTCCAGTGATACGGTGTCACCACTTAAAGCCATTCAGGGTGTTCTGCTGTGTGCAGGATGGCATCTGAGGGTGCTGGTCCAGCGCTGGGGCAAAGACCCTTGCCCGTCCCTTGCTGTTGGGTTTACGCTCGCTGAGGCCTGGGACCGTGGCTGCTGGTGGTGCAAAATAGCAGCACCATCTGCCGGGGGAACCCGAGCAGCCCCGAGCAGCAGGAGGGTCTGCCAGGGAACTGCAGGAGGCTGTTTCCTTCTCCCGGTCCTCCCGTGTTCTCTTTGCTAAGCTGCAGGTACAATGTCCATACAATGTTTTGCTTTGCAGGCAGAGTGCAGCCCGGGATGGGTGGTCAGTGGTGACAGGAGCCCGGTGGGTGAAGGGGCCCTCGGAGCAGCGCTCTGCTGGGAGCCAGCACTGCAGCATTGGGGCCTTCCGTGCCGCACACCTGAGTGGAGCAACAGGCAGGTTTTACATACAGGAAAGCTGCCAAGTATTCTCCTCCTTTGGCCTGTTCTTTTATTTATGCACACTGGAGCCGCTCAGCGGGATCCTTTCCCTCATTCCCAGCTGGACAGAGCCACGATGCAGAGCATGTTGCCTCTTTCATCTCATCACTCCTGGTTGCCAACAGGGATTGCCCCGTGAGGCATGTAGGACAAAAACAGACTGTCTATTTGTAGCCTGCCAAAGGCTGGAGCAGCGTGCAGCACGCGGGCTCGCAGCGAGATGTCAGAGGAGGGCGCGCCGTCTTTCCCCAGTGCTTATTTCAGGCTCTGATGACAGTCATAACGAAGTTACTGCAGTTCTGTGGATTAGCAGAATACGCTGCAAGTGCAATGATACACTAGCTGGTAGGTTATTATGAGAGGGAAGGGGAGGGGAGGAAATTGTTTGATCAGCAAATCTTGTTTCCAGCTCCTAGTCAATATTTGTCATTATTAAGAATCATTTATAAAATAGAATTTACCTGGCACTTTCTGTTGTTCATTTCTGTCTTCTAAAAACGGTGTCTAAAAAGTCATTTTGAAAATAGTATAAATTTGAGGAGAAACAATTTATATGTGACTTGCTCCTAATGATTATTTTCCAGTTTGAGGAAATGTCTTAAACTTCAGTACTGTTTGCTTTTTTGTGTTTGTTTTTCTGATATTTGTTAATAAAACAAGCACTGCTCTGCTTACATTTTAGAATTTATTGTCATTTATTGGGTTTCTCTGCATGCAATTCAGACTAGAAGCAGGATTTATTTATCATTAGGGATAGGGGGAAGTATTGCTGCGTAAGGCCCTTCATTATCCTTGGCTAGAGCAGGCGCCAGCTCTTCTATCAGCAGAGGTGCAGCACCCTGGAGAAGGCAGGGAGCTGTGGGTTCAGCAAGCCAGAGCTGCTGACAACCTGCTAGGAGTGTCTTGGTCTAAAGCCCTGTGTGACACAGCTGCTGGGAACACGGATGGAGATAGTTGGAACATTTAAAAGATTTTGCTGTGAAGCATCCCTTTCAGTTAAGGAAAAATCTGAGTCTGCTGCTTGTTCACGCTCTGTATTAATGCCAAAGACTGCATTTTATCAGGGAAGTGGCGTAGTTATCTGCTTGACATGCTCGAGAGAGATGTTTTTAGCAGCCATAAAAAACATTCCAAGGTATGTAGTTTATAAATCAAAACTCCAGAGCGAGATCTGTATCAGAGTACTTTGTCAATGTAAACACATCCGTCTTGAGCATGGCCCGAAGACTGAAATAATTTTTTTTTCTTAAACAGTTCCCACTGTTCCTTGGGTGAAGTGATGTGAATCACATAGTGGGAACATCACTTCACCCAAGGAATACAGTAAATATTTCCCTTAAAAGTGTAAAGTTCTTCCTGTGATGGTATTTTACTTGCACCTCTGAAAAAGTTGTCCCCAAGCTGTTTTCTGTCCACTTGTAATGAAATTGGGGGATGAACCAACTTCAAAAGTTGCAGGTTGATGGTACTAGAAAGCAATGACAGAAGGGGAGCAGCTAGGAAGAGGGAAAGGTCCTTCCCAGGGGTAGAGACAGGCAAGTGTGTGCTGAGGGGCAGGGCCCGAGGGGCGCAGGCCCCACCACGCGGGTCTGCTGGGCTGAGCACGTGGCAGGTTCTTGTGGAGCGTGAGGTGGCCGAGGCAGCTCGTGCTGCTGCGGTCACGGACACAGGGCAGCGAGCGCCGCTCGGGCACCCTGGCAGCCTCCGCCCTGCAGAACACTTGGCTGCTGCTGGCCTGATGTGGCTGCTGGTACTCACCAGAGCTGCGGTACAGAGTCATATTTTCTGATGTGTTCTATTACAAGGCACTCCAGAGATTAAATGGTGGGGGTGGAAGTGTTTGAAATCAAATATTTTTAACGTTTTTTTTCCTCCTATTTTCTCCTCATGCTGCAGGAACCAGATAATCATCATTATACATCAGGAACTGAAGTTTTTCTCTTCATCTGACAACTATGAAACATAAACAATGAAAACACAGGCTTTTGCTGCTTTGAAAAGGTAAGTGATTTTTAAAAAAATGCCCCAGGGTTATTATTTATAGGGTGCCCCTCCAGTGTTATCATGTACATGTGTGTTATCATGTTGGCAAGGCAAATGCCAACATCCCAATAAGTTGTTTAATCTCTTATAACACCAAAAGCTGAGCAGTACTGATTCAATTAACCATAACGTCCAGATTCCCTTTCCATTTGGAGTGCAGGTTGAAGCAATCTGTTGACAGCTTACTCATCCTTCTGTTTTCCCCACACACATATTTGCACTGCAATTTTCCTGTAAAGCTTGGAAGGCACCATTCACTTTCTGTTAAAAAAGAAAAAAAGAAAAACAAAAAAATCCAACAAAATCTGTCACCCCTGAGATGCCTGCACGCACTGTCATGGTTCAAGTTTTCATTTGTGGTGCATTGGCTGCCAACATCAGAACTGATTAATGATTCAACAGGAGAGGCAGAGAGGGAAAGTGATGCTAACAGAAGGCACTTTCTGCTGCTTTTCCAGTACTAGTATTACACAAATATTGTCTTCATTTACAATTTCAAATTCATGCATCCACGCAAGAACGGATCATTCAAAGGATGCTAAGCCAAATAAGCAGATGAAGGCTGCTGCAGAGCTGGCATTCTCCACAAGCCCTGTGAATACTAGGTACCTCATTCCTCAAATTGAAAGGAAATTAGGACTTCTTTATGTCCTAGTTTGTTCTGATTTGAGCTATGCTACCTGGCTATTACTGTTTTTTTTTAAAACAACCCGGTAGAAGTGTCAGGCTGTGATTTACATAGTCTGTGTTAATAAGGTTCACTATTTTAAAGGATCCTCCAAGATTCTTCAAGAGAAACTAGTACTGAAAGAGTATTATAAATATGATCAGCACAGTATATTTTGGGGGAGAGGGGAAAAAAGGGTATGAGGTACTCGCTCTCCATCTACCTGAGGAAGGTGTAGGTATTTGATATCTGGTATACAACACTGCATGTATGCGAGCACCAAAACACTTGGTGTATTTATTTAAAAGTCTTTCCCCCCTTCCCCATGTGGTCCAGAATTAAAACTGTCTCTCACCCAACAGCTGTCTGTGGTAGAAATGTAGTTGAACTTCAGTAAGTGTCATATTTTAACAGCCAGTGATGTGACTATTTTCTATTTCAGAAAAATCTCACTGGGCTATAGTTAATAAATGTAAAGATCAATTTTTATATTTGTGTATTTACCTGTAATATAATTTCCCACATACTAATATTTGTAAAATAATGAAACATTTCTTTAAAAAATACAATAACTTTGTTTTGTTTATAGATATACAGATAGTGAAACACATCACTATATACAAAATTAGCTTAATAATGCCAAAGGTTTCTTCAGAGGGCAATTATGAGCGAGCAGACAAGCACTGATTCACCACTTCCAGCAAGTGAGAGTTTTCCAGAGCAGCTGCTACACGTTCTTTATCGGCAAGCTGTTTGTTAACTGTTAAGGGGAAAAAAAAAAAGGCACAAAGAACTGGTCAATTCATTGCTATGCAATGTCTTTTAAAAAACATTTTATATTCAGACTGATAATCAGACTGTTGCTATAGGACTCAGACTAGTAACTCTGTAGAGGCCGAGTGTACCACAGAACTGTAATCTGAAGTCAAAGCTGTTGCATTATATTGCACGTTAGACAAGGAGGCTATTTATAATTCAGCAGCAGCAACCTATGCACATACAGCTGCAAAAAGACAGTAAATTTATCCCCAGCTTCTCCTCACTTTCTGAACCCTCCATAACCTGGGCAAACCAGGAACTATTTAAGAGCACAGGCTGCGTGAGGAAATGTTTCAGGTGAGGTGTACAAGTTTCATTACTACCCATTTCAGCTCTCTAACATCTGCTGGAAGGGGCTGGCATGTGTCAAGCCCAGGTACTGCACAGCTGCTTCTGCAGATTTTGGTCTCTCATCTCTAGTCTGCAAAATTAAAAATGTAGAGCGAGGCACACAAGAGAGCACCACAGAGCTTACCTGCATGCTCAGAGGCGTGTGTTCCTGGTGTTATGTGAACATCCACCTTAAGAGGAGCAAAAGGGTCACAAAAGAAGAAAGAGGAGACAAGTCAACAACAGGGGAAGTTCAAACTTTTCACGTGAGATTTTAGCCCCACCATCACTTCTTTTTGATGGTGCCGTTGCCCACCTTAAACCTCTCTGGCAGCGACCGGATCAGCTTCACCTTTATGGAGAGGCCGATGAGGGTGGCCATGCTGCAGTGCGGGATGGTGGGGGTGAAGGCCACGGACACGGTGCTCTCGGCGTCGTTCACCTGGGGACACGGGAGCCTGCACTCGCACGCGGCGCAGGCCAAGCCCCGGCCCCCCTCCCCGGGCCGGCACTCGCCTTCACGCGGACCTGCTCCACCACGTTGAGCTCCTCCAGCGTCAGCGGGTGCTCGGGGTCGTTGATGGAGCGGATGAGATGTGCGAGGCTGAGGAAACGCGCAGCGCTGCCCGCTCCGGTCCGGCCCAGCCCCGCCACCCCCGGCCCGACCCAGCCCGGCCCGGCCCCGCCGCCATCCCCGGCAGGATATCGAAGATCTCGCGGTCGTCGATGGAGTCGGGCAGCTCGTCGTCCTCCTCGCGCGCCGTGACGGGCCGCTCGCCGGAGCGCCGGTAGATGAGCGGGTTGGCGTTCTCGAGCGGCGCCGGGGCCCCCGCGCCCACCATGGCGGCGCCGAGGCCGGCACTTCCGGCGCGGCGGCGGAAGGAGCCCGGAGGCGGGAGCCCGCCGCACCGCCCCCCGCCCCGCGCGGGCGCCCCCGCGGTCGTGGCGGGGCCAGCGCCGAGCGGCCCGTGCCGGGGCCTTGCGCGGGAGACGCGGCCGGTAATGAGCCGGCGGCCGGTAATGAGCCGACGTTCAGTAATGAGCCGACGGCCAGTAATGAGCCCTAGCGAATCCGCTGCGTTCCGTCATCAGCCCCAAGCCCTAAGGCACCCCTGAGGGACGGGATAAGAGGGAGATGTTTGGGAGTGGGTAGGGGGCTTTGGGAGGATAGTTCATTTAATGGCTTAGGGAGAGAGCGATCAGGTGGAATTTTCATCCAGTTCGTGGCTCCTTAGCTGCAGAGATAGGTTAAAACACACTGCCGAGAAAAAGAGTGTTTCCCTCTGTAACATTAGATAGCGCTTTAAGTGCAAGGTGATCGGAGCCCCCTGCTTGGCCTTTCGATATCATTCATGGGTCTAAAAGAGGTATTTATGCAGATTAAAGATTGGTTGAACTAATTTCCTGTGAGTATTTAGATATTTGCTGTATCTAAATTGCTGTCTGTGAGCTGTCTATGAGCTAGGTCACAAGTAAAAGCTTGAGTGTAGTGGGGTAAGGGCAACTCCTGTAATTGCATTGTCAATACAGATAAATAAGCAGACATTTTCAAAAAAAAAAAAAAAAAAATCCTCAGTAACAGTTTTTTTAATTTATTTATTTCAAAGTAGCTCAATATTGTGAAACATCAGGGAGTTTAAACAGCTGTTCTCAGAGCACTTCAGAAGCTGTCTAAGTTTAGAAATGTGGTTCGGAGAAATCATCAGGTAAAATTAATATTTCAGTGTAATATATTTTGATACTGAGTTTTTCATTGCTAAGGTGAATACAAAATATGGACTAGCAATAAACACAGAAGTTTCTTAAAAATTCAAAGCCCCACTTCAGCAATTGTCGAACATTAATGGAATGTTTGCACTCCTAGTGATTCAAAGAAGACAGGCAAACTACCTGTTTCCTATTGTGCTCATTTGTCTTCTTGCAGATGATAAATTAATTTAAATTACTAATAAAATACAATTTATATAATTGCTGTTATATATAGTAGTACACTTGCTCACTGATAAATGGGGGAAACGTGCTTGATGGTACAGGCCTCTTAAGAACCAACAATTCTGATTTTCCTTATTGATACTATTTAGCTTTGCAGTGATGTCCAGTCCCAGTTCATTTTTCAGGAACTTAGACGCCAATAGCCCCGCAGCGCTTCAGTGTTTTGTTTGCTTGTAGGATTAAAAACAACTGCGGTTGGATCCTTTGTTGCCTTGGTTCTCAGGTGGTGCTGCTCGTTTTCGGCTCATCCATTCCCAGGGAGAGGTAGGGATTAGGTGCCTTCCAGGGAGAGACTGTGGTTGTGCTCGGCATCAAGTGCAGCTCTGAAAGTGCCTAGTGTAGTGTGTGTTCAAAGAGGATTTTAACTGTGTTCCTTACCCAGAGTCCAGTGAGCAGGGAGGGACCTTTGTACCTGTTTCTTCCGTGTGAAAACAGAAAATACTCAAACTCGGAAAAAAATGGCTCCTGAGAGCTGTCATCCTTTGCTTTGCACCCTGATCTGTAGTGTAGTGCTCAGCATTTGTGGAACAGAAGGTGAGATATAAAAATTCTTATTAATGATGAGGAAGTAACTGCTCTAAGAAGTTGTGGGGTAATAGTTTCCAAAGGGAGTACATCTCTCACAATTGTATTCCAGTATCAGATATCTGTATCTATAGAAGCCTGATGTGAAATGATGTACCTAGATGTACCTAAATAAGTGTAAAAATGTTTTTGTGGGTTGAAACCATTCCTGAAGATAAATCTATGGGGAAACTAATGAAAGGTTTTGTTTCTTAAAAGGTAAAAATCAAAACATTTATAAATTACCTAAATAATTTAGCTTGAATATCTTGTTGGATGATAAAATTAGAAAATGTTAATGATTCGGACAATTTTTGGTTACTCTGAAATTTGTTTAGAGCTATGTGTCTTGCACGGGGAGTAAGCCATGGTATTACCTGTCTCTGCTGTCGTTGGCAGAGGCAACCGTGGGAGTGTTTGGCAGGGGGAATTAGTCATTATTCAAAAGTAAAATGAAAACCATTTGAACAAAACTGAAAAGAACAAGATGAAAGATGATTCTTTTGACTTATAATCACAAGATGATTCTTTTGACTTACCTGTTGCTTAGGACAAAACAGCGCTGAGCCAGAAGTGACGATTGCACTTGGACGGCTCAAAGGGAAGCAAGTGAACGTGAAGGGAACAGACAGACTTGTAAATGTTTTCCTTGGAATTCCTTTTGCAAAAGCACCTGTTGGGTCCTTGAGGTTTTCACCACCTGAACCACCTGAAGCCTGGAATGATCTGAGAGATGCGACTTCCTACCCCCCTATGTGAGAGCTGCTTGATTCACTTGTGTATAGGACTTGTGCTTGTTCATTTGTCATATTTATCAGCGTTTGCAAGACTGATTTTCAGTGAGGAGCTTGGATGACTGGTAGTGAGTGCCCTAAACCACATGGAAATATTCTGTAAGAACTGTGTGATTAGGAAGGAGTTCCTAGGAATTTTCTTAATTTGGAAATCAAGTTTTCTCATTATACTGTGTTGAGATAATTCACATTTAAACATAAAAATAGAAAGCTGTGCTTTTACAGTTTTCACTTCTATGTGGGAGGAAGGTGTTTTGTTTTTTTTTTTTTCACCTCTGTTGCTGTCGCTGCAACATTTTTGTTGCACTGTTGCAGCATATCATTGCAGCTGTGTTACTAATACTTGTGTTTCATTTCATTTGTGAAGATGTCCTCAAGATCTGACAATACTAAAAAAAGTTGAAAAAAACTTTAAAGAAAAACACCCTCCATTCCAAACGTCTGAAGATTGTTTGTATCTGAATGTTTACAGCCCATCTGGTTCAGACACGAAGGACAAATTACCTGTAAGGAAATCTATTGTAGAAACTTCTGAGTGGTGCAAAATTACTTCTGGCTACTAAATCAGTGGGTAACTTTGAAAAATACAATGCTGCATTAGCAAAAACAATATTGTTATGTGAGATTCCAAGTCCACTGGCTTAAAATTCAGCTCCCAAGAATGTCAGTGTTTTCAAATTCCTCATTCTCTGTACTTTTCTGTCATTTTCAAATGAAATCTGCAAAGATATATATATATATATATATATATATATATATAAAAGTAAATCTCACTTTCTTTTCTTCAAGGTAATGGTATGGATCCATGGTGGCAATTTTATATTTGGTGGGGCTTCTAGGTATGATGGTTCTGCCCTTGCAGCCTATGAGAATATTGTCGTAGTAATAATTCAGTACAGGCTTGGACTTCTTGGATTCTTCAGGTAAGATGACCTGTTTCACTTCTTAATAATTAATTCATGATTTGCTTAAAAGATGGTTAGTTTTCTTTTTTAAATCAACTGAACTTCAACACTAGCTTCTCACTGGTAAAGTGCTTTAAATATATGTAGTTCCCTCATACAGGGACATGAGAACATTGAGTCAGGTCCTGAAGTTCAACTGTTTGCATTGTCCTTTCATTAAAAGCTGCTATTAAATCATTGGGCTTGTTTCGTTCTGTGCAGGGTGTTCCTTCTTACCATCTCCTTTGATCACTGGTGTGCAAAGCAAAAATTCATACAACATAAGGCTAGGAATCCATGTCTGTATGGATGAACAGTGATCTGGCTATGAAAGGCTTTAGGGTGGCAGGTTATGCAGTTCTGTAGCTGAATATGTCATAGATGGTGATGGGTTTTTTCTTTTTGTTGTTATCATGGTATTAGAGGAACTAATGGTCTTAATGAAAATTTGGCTTATATTGCTTCATTTTCAGTACTGGTGATGAACATGCTCGTGGAAACTGGGCATTTTTGGATCAAGTAGCAGCTCTTCGCTTTGTCCAAGAAAATATTCATCATTTTGGTGGAGATCCAGGATCTGTCACACTCTTTGGTGTATCAGCAGGATCTTGCTGTGTTTCTGCACATGTAGGCATGGAATAATTATACTAAAAAATGAAATCCCCAAAATCCTAAAAATCTTAAAAAACAACTCAGTGTCATGTTTAGCATGTAATCTGATTTTTCGATGTAATGATACATTGTGCCAGGTCAATACACTTCTCCTATAAGCACATAAAATTGTTTCCACACTGAATCTAGCAGTCCAGTTGGATAAAAAGTTATAAGACAAGGACTTTAGCATCAATAAATCTGTTTTGTTCTTCCCTTTTTGGCAGGTTTTATCTCCTTTGTCTAAGGGTTTATTTCATAAGGCAATATCAGAGAGTGGAATTATGTTTACCCCTGGTAAAGATTCACACATCTCAGCAGATCTTAAGGTAGGTTCATTTTTGCATTTTGAAGTCTCTATAACCCAAAATAAGACATTTCTTTTATCTGATACTTTGATTAAAAAAGGAGAAAATCTTATTGCATATTAGGCAATAAAGATAATTAATTCTTAAGATATATGCATATCAATAAGTACTGTGTTTCTTTGAATGACTCTATTTACTTACAGTCTTACCATGCTCTTTTGGTGTTAGGAATAGTCTACTTAGTTATGTAATAGTATCATGTGGGAGAACTTGATTATTTTCAAATATGAGCGTGTCCATGTCACCATATGTCTATTTCTGTGCACACTATCACTTATACAGTAGCTATGGAATTTAGTTTTGAATTTACTGTAAATGCTTAACTATAATCCAGAAAAGGCTTTCGGTTTTTATGGAGGGTCTATACCTGATATTAATTTCTTTTAAAAGAAAAGCTTTGAAATTAAATTCCTCTCTAAAAGTACATTTTCATTTATCTTCCTGAAACAGCAATCTAATAGTGTGAATCTTGCATAAGTGGATTCTGTGAGTTTTTTGCCTTACTTGATTTGTTTTACAACCTTGTATTGTTCCTATGGCAAGATTTGTTACATAAAATGAATGGCAGTATAGCGAGAAAAAAAAGTGCACAAAGATGATTTGAGTTAATGATGTAACAATCATTTTTATATTCAAGTAAAATGCCTGAAGACCTACCAAATTAATCTAAATCATCCCTTATATACAATTATTAATAATATTGTTTATAATAATTATATATATATAATTTCCTTAAAGAATATCTCATAACTTACAATTTGTAACTTTGTTAATAATTTTCAGAAAATTGCAAATACGTTTAAGTGTGAGGCAAACACTTCCCTCTCAATAATAAATTGCTTAAGAAACCAGGAAGCAAAGGACATAGTCTTTAAAAGTACGGTAGGTGAAACTTTACTTAATTACAGACTTATTGACATAATTGCAAAGCTTCAGCTCAGTGTCTGACCAGAGTTCCTAGCTGACTTGTTCCAAAGCTGTTTTTTAATTGGTGGTGGTGGTGGTGGGTTTTGTTTAGGTGGTTTTTTTTTTTTTTTTTTTTTTTTTTACAAAATACTTGCTAAATATTCAAGTAATTGCACAAAATTTCTCTTCAGAATTTTCAGCAAAGTGTGACAGTATGTGCAAAGTTTTGAGCAAGACTCAGGCATATGTATGCTTTAGTATCAATTAGAAACAGTGCAGAGTCAGGAACTCATTAAATTACTCTATAACATGCCCAAACCATAGACTTGTGCAAAACTATTAGGGTAGTTCTAGATTTTTATATGCCCTAATTTCTTTTTTCTTTGCACTTAGACCATTTAGTATAGATATTCTATCATATGATTTGAATGAAAAAGAAAAATACTATTAACCATTTAACTTTTTTTTCACCTTTCAGGAAATCCCGTTTCTACCCTTAGTTTTGGATGGAGTATTTCTTCATAAGTCATCTGAAGAGATATTATCTCGGAAAGAATTTAATGCAGTCCCATATATGATAGGAGTCACCAACAATGAATTTGGCTGGAATATTCGATCTGTAATTTAATGGCTATTCTTCACTCTTTTGAATGTGTATATTAACTGAGTCAGGCATCTCTGAGAAAAGTAGATGAGGGGTTTGCTGGTAGGAAACATTTGAAGAATGGCCAAAAGGCTTTGCATTGGTGGAAATGTAAGCAAGGTAAACTTTACTTGCATTACACTTGCATTTTTAAATGCTACATGCTTACATTTACAAATGCTACATACAAATGCATCATTTAGGTAGCTTGCCACTTACATTATTATGAACTTTGATAACTGTTACTTCTGTCATTTCCTCCTGTTCCTTTTTGTCTTGCAAAAAGAGCTATTATTTGAAGATCTGAGGTGGCAACAGGTTATGTAGAAAATGTGAATGTACCACTCATTCTCAGTGCATGGGTTTTCCCTTTCCCAGTGGAATTCCATGAATAACTCCAAAAAGGGACCAGTTGCTATACCATGCACAGAACTGTAGAGAGCGCATTTGTGCCCAGTCCCTTTCTTGTCCTCTTTTCATTTCTTAATGCTTATGTTCAGCATTTGCTCTGAATGTAAGTAACAAATGTATCCCTGGAAGTACTCAGGCTCAAAAGGAAAAGGTTCAATGAATCTTTTCTAATTTATTATCCATATAGAAGAGTCTTTTTATGTAATAACTGAAAAGCAGTTCCTTAAATGCCTTTTCAATGCCTTCCTTGGCATTTAAAAGACTCAAGCAGCTCAACCAGAGGCTGAGATATAGTGAGGCTGTCAATGGCTTTTAAAATCTGCTACGAAAAGGAAAATAAGCCTTTTTCATGAAGCTTTGCACTTCAGTTCTGCCCTAGTGCTTTGTGATTTCTTAGGTTTCTTAGAATTGTTTTAAGGATAAATCACTTGGCATGAATGGTTTATCAAGAAAGCCTTCACTGAGTAAATGTTTACTGCAGCAAACAGCATCTTCAGTAGAGCTGATGCATTGTACTACATTTCTGCATAGGACCTGGTGCTTTAAAAATAAATACTAGTAGTAAGAATGAGGTGGAAAAAGGTAGTTCCTATGTTAAAAATACTGAAGAAGTTGCACGGGTGTGACAACATTCTTGTTTTCTGTGCAGACATCAACAATGCCGGGTTTGAAGGAAGTGGGAAATAGAAAGTCAATCGCATCAACTTTGGAGATGCTGCGTCCAATGATAGTAAGAATTGTTTATATAATTTCATTTTAGATGTGAAATTCCTTTTTAAAGAATATACCAAACTTGCTAATTTTGATATTCTCTGATTTCCTACTTGAATGCTAGTATGTACTGCTATGTCTCAAAGTCATGATATATTTTGGGGACAGTCCCATCAAAGTTGACAGGACTACAGTGAGTGTACGGAGCTGCACAAAAATTTGATTGAGTGAGGTCTAGATTTTGGGAAATAATCTTTTCTTTCTAGACCTCTGGACCAAAATTTTTATGTTACAAATTTTACTTTTTCTCATAGGGTATATCATCAGAGCTTCTGCTTGTGGTAATGGATGAGTATCTAGGAGACACAGATGATCCTGCTGAACTACGGGACCGATTTTTGGACTTGCTGGGGGATCTAGCAGTTATTATACCATCCATAAAAACACTGAACTACCATAGGGGTGAGCTAATGAACACCAACTTTCTTTTTTAAAAAAAAAATATATATATATATATGTGTGTGTGTGTGTGCGCGCGCGCGCGTGTGTGTGTGTGTGTGTATCAAAATAGATACTTCTAACTTTGTGCTACATACTAGATCAAATGGTTTAGGCAAAAAATCCTGCCATGTCTAGGCAACCCTTCTTGAGATTCCAGATGGGACTTAAACTGAAAAGTGATTTTCAGGATTGGCCCAGGCAAGCGTGTATCCCCTTTTGCCTTTGTATGAGTATCTTGCGCTTGTGTTGACAATCAGACTATATCAAGAGTGTAGCACAATAATGTAGATAAATGTTTCCCAAATAAGTATAAAGATTTAAAAATTAAAACATATTCAAGTCATCTGGAATTTGTGCTTTGATACACCAATACTTGTGAGGTCAGCAACTCTATATTCTGGAGATCATCTCTTATTTAAGTGTAGACCAACCATGCCAAAATATTCAGAATTAGAAGATAATTGGATTTTATTTTGTTTTATGTAAAGCCTTCTTGTGGTGAATCTTTTATGATTTGTGTTAGTACTGTGAGTTCTTAATTTCCAATAAAAAATTTGACTATGCTGTTTGATAATTAATGTGCAGTGTGATCTATAAAGCTTTGGGCACATTTAGAGTAATATTTTTGGGAAGCTGATGCCAGAAATAATAAATACGATTCTACCTCTGCAAATATTTTATCTTCCAGAGTCAGGAGCTCCAACCTACTTGTTTGAATATCAACATCGGCCAACTTTATACTGGGATAATAAACCAGATTATGTGAAAGCTGATCATGGAGATGAAGTTAGCTTTGTCTTTGGAGGACCATTTCTGGCTGGTGACATCCGCCTGCGCGGTAGGGAATGGAATCTTTAGTGTTTATTTATCAATTACTTTAATAATAATGATAATATTGTATTCAACAGTACTAGCTTCATTTTAATGAGCCCAAAGTACATATATTAGAATTAAGACTAAAGTATAACCCTTTCTTCTGTCCATATTTACTTAACATTAATTTACTGTGCTTGCTATCCTTTACCATGTACAGCTTGCTGTTTCTGAAGCACAGTAAGTTTCCCGTGTTTTAAACTTTTTTTCAATATTAAATTTGCTAGAAAACATTGCTTCCATTATTTCAACACTATTCATGAATCTGCTGAATACCTTTGTCTGAAAAATAAATTGAGGGAAAGATCAATGAGGGATTAGTAGAGTTCTGAGGGAGCAGAAAATCTAGACTTTCTTCTTTACCCAAGGAATTTAAGCTACTATCTCTTCCTTTTAAGGAAATACCACTGGGCATCCCACTCCCAAGAGTGAGGGCACTGTCATTTTGCTAATAGTGTTACAGCTTGTGTTAATCAACAAAAAAATAAAAAAGGATGGAATTCCAATGTTTCATCTTCTGCTTGAGGATCTAATAGTTAGGTTTTTCTCCCATTGCCATGTTATATTTAAGCATTTTGTTCAAAATGGAACTAGTCCAACAAGGGTTAAGGAAAATTTCCTTTGCCTTGGCAGTTTGGGTATTTGCTTTGGATTTTGGAACTGTGGCATTTCTTTCCTTCAGGCAGAACCCCACCTTGCTACAGTCCTAGTGAGAGTGAACGATTAGATAAAAGCATCCACAACCTGGGCAGTATTATGAATCCAATGCTTTTGCTTTAAGTACCTAAACTGAAAATAGTCTGAGTATTTCAGTTCACAAGAAACAAATTTGGCGCAGTTCTTATTTTGGTAAAGAAACATGGAAATTCTATTTACTTTAAGTATTCCACAGTCAGTTTCAAAGACCAAGTAAATAAAATGATTTTCTTTTACTCTAGTGAACTTTGGAGTAGTCCAACCATCTTATAAAGTCATTCATTAATCAGTGTTTCATTTTTGTGCTACACTAGAGAGTACTATGTATGCTCTTTATTTTCTATTTTTCTAGAGTTTGAAAACATAAGAATAGCAACTATTTTCTTGATGTATTAAAGTGTATGTATAAATAATAAATATACTCTAACTTATTTCAGTTATTTTTGTTTTAACCAGTAAGCTGTGTGAAGAATAGCGCATTCATGAACTGAAATGCTACTTCTATAGCAGAAATGTTTTGATTTCTGCCACCAGTAATAATAATAATTTTGTATTTTGTCTTTCAGATGAAGTTACAGAGGAAGAAAAGAACCTTAGTAGAACTCTGATGAAGTACTGGGCTAACTTTGCTCGAAATGGGTGAGAATAATGAGACTCATGACACACAAAAAAGTATTTTAGCTGGGTTGTGCTGTCTCTATAGTGAGTTGGCTGTTTTGTTGATTGACACTTAACTTCCCCAGCAGACTGAAAAGAGCATTCACTCTTTCTTTCTTCTTGTTTCCAGAAATCCAAATGGGGAAGGTTTGGTTGAATGGCCATCTTACAACCTAAATGAAGAATACTTAGAGATAAATTTAAAACAAAAGAAAGCCAGTAAACTGAAAGAAAAGAAGGTAGACTTCTGGAGAAAGGTGATATTTGAAAAGATCAATAGTGAAAAAACAGAAAACAGGAAGGTTAATTCAGAGTTATAGTTTACAGACTAAACCTATGCACAATAGGCATACTGTTATGCCTATTAATTATGTATTAGGTAATTATGCCTATTAATTACATATTAATTCCTGTTATGCCAAATTAATTACGTAAAATATTTTTGAGGATAAAATAATGTTTCTCTTCCTTTTTCTTTCCCCTTGTCACATTTACAAATATTCACCATAATGATTTCTATTGAGCTGTTTCCATTTTGTGATCCTGGGTTCATGTCCACATTAGAACTCTCATTTATTAAAAGTAGTTACCAGGTTTCTCTCCTACTTGGGTTTTATATGTCTTTCCTATGACTGAAGACAGAATATAGCAGCAACATTGTTTTAATATAATGAAATCAATAAAGACCTGATTTGCAAATAAAACTGTCTTCTTGATCTCAGATGTTCAAGTGTATCGATGGTTATTCAAGTGTATCAGTCATGGTACAAGAGCACTGCTCCAAGTCACTTACAGAAATGCACTTTGCGAAATTTACTGAAACAAAAAAAAATGTTTCGTAAATCAGTTCCACTTCCGAATGTGTCAGGGCTCAATGTTTTTCTGACTGATCAGTGCTGGAATTAAGACTTCTCTCAGCCGTTAGAAAAGGGGGAACAACTACCTTTTTTTTTTTTTTTTTTTTCCCTTTTTAATTAGTGCTGGAATTAAGACTTCTCTCAACCGTTAGAAAAGGGGGAACTACTACCCTTTTTTTTTAAAAAAAAAAAAATTTACAACATTGTAGTAATATTAATTCCACACTCTCTGTTTTTTTTCCGTTTTGTTTGTTAGGTTCTCTGTTTGCACATGATCACAATCTTTCATTGCTAACACCGCAAAGAGTCCAGAATTGTTCCAATACCGTTTTCAGCTGATGGGTATTTGGATAAGCAAGAACAAGTCACTTTCTCTCACTTTGCTTACAGGAAACTTTGTTGCATAGATGAAGATACATTAACAATAAAGAATTCAATTCTTCAAAAATAGTACCAGAGGGGGAAGGAGAAAAAAAAAAAAAAAGTAAGTCTCAGGCTGGTGTCCTGATGCCTCTCAGAGACACCAGTAAGAATTCTGCAAACAAATTATTGTCCACACTGATTTCTTGGAAGTTCCACTTTATCATATTTTTCCATTTGCCAGTGTATAAGCTCTAAGCACAGAAGCTAATTAAGTAAAGCTATTCAGTATGTGTTTAACATATATATATGAAGCTACCTGCCACCAATTTACTTTGAGCAATCTAGTTTAAGGCTTGCTTGTATTTACTTACATGAGCTGCAAGTCATTCCTGTGCAGATGTTTTGGAAAAGCCAGGATTAAGGAATTTCTTCAGGGTACATTAGTACAGCACACAGGACTGCTACATGCTTAAAACCTGTACTCAGCTAGTTTCATGACTGGGGATCTTCAGGGGACACGTAGCAGAAAACAAATGTGCAGCTAGTAAAAAAAATCCATAGCGATTATGCTTCTGATGACTGGGAATTCTCATGTTACAAAGTTACAAAACATGAGACTTTCTGGGGCAAGAGCCACTGAGCCTTGCCAGAAACAGGGGCAGAGGCCAAGGTTTACAAAGGGAAACTTGCAGAGAAAACATGACCAAGTAGTGACATAAGCAGATAGATGATTTTTTTTTCTATTATTTTCTATCTTTTCTATTCAGGTATCCTTTTTTTTTTTCTTTTTAATCTCACACCCCTATGATAAATGGGACTCAAATGTGACACAGAAGTTTTTTTTTAAATCCTGTCAACTTTATGGAGGGATTTAAATGTGTAATTGCTATCCAAATATTTGAAAATAGCTCCCAAACATTATTAAGCTTCACTTCAGAATATGGCAGACCTCTTGTTTTGCATTAGATAACAAACAAACAGTCCTGGACTCATCAGACTGAGCGGCAGGTAGAGTATCCACCCTGCAGGAATAGCTAAGATTCTTATGATACAACTTTTGATATAAAATAGTCTTCTTTTGTGACATGAAAAATCCTTCACTTCAGGAAAAGCTTTTTTTTTTTTTTTTTTTTTTCAGGACTAGCATTCTGCATTTTTGTTCTCTATTGCTTTGTTATATGACGTTTATATTGAGATATTAATACTGAAACGAATGAAATAAATGTTATAAATAATTTTATTCCACAGTCTCTTCACTGAGTAGCAGGAGTTAGTTGCTAACTTAATTGTCCTACTGTGATTGGCAAAGATCTATTTACGGCAGCAGGAAGAAAGCCCAGGCGTTATGGAAGACTGTCTTCAGAGCATTTAAAAGACAGTAGCTGATGCCCGAGTTCGTGTACGATGTTGGAGGGCTGGGGACGGTGAGCGCGCAGTCCAGGGGACACAGGGGGGCTCTGGCTGCCGCTCGCGGGGAGCTGCTGTGCGCATCCCGGGAGGAGTGGCTTGTAGTCCTGGACACTTGTTCCGCCTGCTCACAGCTAGTGCTGGGTCACAGCCCAGCCGTTGCTTTTCCTAATCGCTGTTTGCTTTGCATAACGTTTATACTTCACCGAGTATATAAGACAGCAAGCTGAGGAGGTGAATGTGTGACTAGCCTGAAAAATGGCAGTTGGGAAGAAAACACTGCTGCTGTCCCTGATTGTGGCCACCAGTGTCGCAGCTCTTGTAGTTACTGGTAAGTTTCAAAAATGTTGCCTTATTTTAGGAGATAGGACATGTGCACAGCCTGCTCTTTCTAGGGAATTCCAGCCTTGTTGGAGGACCAGGGTACTTGGTATTGCTCTACAGATAACTTGGGTGGCAGATAACCTTTTCTTTTTGCTGACCTGTTTTCAGACATTTGCCTTACTTGCCTTTTTCACAAACAGTGAAATCAAATTCCTACCCCAAAATCCACTCTGTTGAGGTAAAGAGCAACATGTCACATTTTTCAGTTTTCATGCCGCTTTTGAAATGCATCTTACCTAAATGTTAAAAAAAAAAAAGTATACAGTGCTATTTTGGGGAATATTGTTTTCTTTTTCTTTTTTCTTTTTTTTTTTTTTACTGTACAATCAAGAGTCCCAAATGTATTTTGTGTATTCAAGGATTTTTGATTTTTTTCTTAAGAAAGAAAAGCTTTTTCTTGCTGAGAGCAATCTATTGAAGTTTTGAATAATAACTTAGGTCCAAAGGATTAAGAGCTCTATGTAGTTATCAGTGTGTGCGACCATTAAAATAAAACTGAGAGGTTTTACATACAAAAACAATCAGAATGAAGGCTGAAATGTTGGTTGTTCTGATTCATGTACTTGTTGAAGTCTTATGTATGAAAATGAGTTGTTTAAGCAAACCGAATGTGCATATTTAAGAAGCTAAAGCTCTTAGAAATGTGTCAATTGCTTATAAATGCTTACAAAATTACTCCTGATTTTGTGCACATAGGTGAAAACACAGACCAACCAGAAGTGGTGACGAAATATGGGAAAATCAGAGGGAACCGAGTCACAGTAAATGCAGCCAAGAGGAGTGTTGATGTCTTTTTGGGACTCCCCTTTGCTAAGCCTCCGGTTGGACCACTGAGGTTTTCTGAGCCCAAGTCGCCTGAGCCATGGGAGGGTGTCAGAAATGCCACTTCCTACCCACCAATGTAAGTTAACCACAAAACTACCCATCTTTTTGATGATTTTATATTACGTGCCACTCTAGGGCACTGATACACAAGGCAATGGAAAGGGACAATGAGAAACTTTATAGTGCCATCTCAATGCTACTTGCACTTGTTTTACAATGAATGCATTTTTAAAAATTATAGGTTTTTTTTTTCTTCTTTCTGAAACCTATCTAATAGGTTTCAGTGATTAAACTAGTAAGGACAAGCACTTGATCAATACTGTTGTGCTTTGGGGACATTCAGTCATTACTTAGTAATTTTTATGAACCTTGTAAATTCAGAGCAAAACCAAAAAGGAGCTATGAAATGTTAGAATAACGTGTTGGTGAAGTGTCTAGTGAGTCACATGCTCCAGAGGATACATGCGAAACACATCACTTCTACTGTACTGTACTGTAAGCATCTTACTCCAGTTAGTGCCCTCCATTAGCCTAAAACCTACATGTAGAACATAAAAAAAACCCTATATAAGATGCAAAATAATTCATTTGTATTTTGACTGAATTTCCTTATGGTGATATCTATTTGCAGATAGATTTCTGCAGTATGTTGATTCATGCTAAGTTACAACTTCATCTCACTGTTCTACTCTTTACAATGGATGTATTTTACAAAGCTTGTTAAAGACTTGTCTGACTGGCAGCACAAGGAAGAAAATATATTAAAAATGTTTTGTTTTCTGTTGCCAACAGAAAAACAGAGAATGTACTAGGGATTGATTACTGGTTTGTACTTTATAGAGGAAGACAGTTGGAAGTTTTAGTTATTTTTACTGCTTGTTATTTTTTACTTATTCAGGTGTCCACAGGATAAAGCACAAGGACAGTTTTTTTCAGACTATATTACTAATCGAAAAGAAAAAGTTCCTCTCGATATGTCTGAAGACTGCTTATACCTAAATGTGTATACACCCAGCGGTGCTGAAGAACAGGAGAAGCTACCGGTAAACAAAGTTGCTATAAAATCTCGACAAACCTGATTGCCTTTGTGACCTCATAGAACAAGTTAAGCTTAAAATTTCTAAAAGTTTCCCAAAGATTAAACTTTGCTTGATTTAGAGTAAGTCAAATGCTTGATTTCTTCTGAAAAGTCAGTGACATGATTCAAAGGTTTAATAAAATGAATACCATTTTATAAACCTGCAGATCTCATATTTAAAGAAATCTATCATTTGTGAAATGCGGTGTGAAAGACTTGAGAGTGAAATGGCATAAAATATTTTATTTTGTTTTATACTTAGTTTGTCAGAAAAGAACCTCTCATCTGTACTTCATTGTTAGTTTATGTTTCTCTTTCTTTAAAAAAAAAAAAAATTCCTTTTCAGGTCTTTGTATGGATCCACGGAGGTGGATTAGTTTTTGGAGCAGCTTCATCGTATGACGGTTCAGCATTAGCAGCCTTTGACAACGTGGTAGTTGTAACAATTCAGTACAGATTAGGTATTCTTGGATATTTTAGGTAAGTGATTCTATCCTAGTTTTTGCTAAGTGATTTCCAAATTAAGTTCTAAAAATGATTTAAAACTATACAATTCTAATTACATAGAGAAGATTTGAGAGCAACACAAGAGTCTCAAGTCAAATTCAGAATCTGTTCTTTTTTGATAGCTAGACTTATCTGAACCCTTCCTGAGCCATTTCTCATTCAGTTATGTAGAGAGGTTCTTTGGCAGCTGATTTCTTTTACCAGATTGTATTTATCTCCACTTTTTCTTTCATCAGGCATTTAAACAAAACTCTTTTTTATTTTTATTTTATTGTTTTTTTCCAGCACTGGTGATGAGCATGCACAGGGCAACTGGGGTTATTTGGATCAAGTAGCAGCTCTTCAATGGATTCAGGAAAATATCATAAAATTTGGAGGAAATCCAGAATCTGTCACTATTGCTGGAGAGTCTGCAGGAGGAATCAGCGTTTCTGCTCTTGTAAGTTCACAGAAATCATTAATCACTCAAAAAAAAAAAAAATACAATTCATGCTCATTTTTAGTATCTGCAAGAAAAGTCAGGGAGACAGAAGTGATGGTTTTGTAATATATTTATATCGTACTATCTTATGGATCACTTCAGTCTATAAGACAATGTGATATAAATGCAGCTTCTGACTGATGAAAATGGTCTATACCCAAATCTTCTTGTTCAGATCCCACATGTTGTTTCTCATCTACTAATCTGAATTCTGTGGGGTTTTGAGGCCTTTTTTTTTTTTAAGAATTTTTGAAAACAAAATTTATCCTTGTGAGAAAAGTCCTTTCAAAGGATGCCGTATTGCCCATTTCCTGTATGTCGACAGACAGTCACGCAGTTACTCAAAGTGATTAATTGTGATCGTGTCTGAACTAGATGTGCATTTTGCAACCATGTGTTGATGTAAAATTTGTAATCAGTACTGAGCACATTTGAGGTGCATTTAAGATTAAGTAGTTCTTCTTCAAACTCTCACAATTTGATACAGATGCATAATAAAACCTTGTTTCAGTGACACTTATGTGTTAATAGTAATTTCTCTTTGCTAACCTCCTGCCCTCTAGCAAATATTGTGGCTGTGCTGCAGCACAGTTATAAAGAACTACCTGAGGCACAGTCATTTTCAATCCATATCTGGCTCACAATGTAATTCCATAAAATCTTGGAAACAGGCTGCTATGGGAGGGGAAAGGACAGGCGTGAACTCTTGAACCTGATTGTTGCCACAGCCCTTTGCGTAACTGAACAATGATCGAAGTCTACAAAACATTTGTTCTTGTGACATTTTTCTTCAAAATATCTTAAGAATTAGTTTCTGATACTCTAAGTCAGTGGTCAGAACATAATGCTTGCCATACTTGAAATGTATGTATAGCACTTGTCATACTTGAAATGCCTTTTCTTGTTTTTCAGGTCCTCTCTCCTCTGGCAAAGGGCTTGTTCCATAAGGCCATCTCAGAGAGTGGTACCGCGATCAGGAATTTGTTCACTGACGATCCTGAGCAGCAAGCACAGGTGTGCACTTTGTGGTATTTTTAAGTATGTTCCTTATGGTTTTGCACATTATAAACTGTTTATTCAAAAGGTGGAACTAGATTGTTTTCCTATGAAACCACAACTACAGTCACTAAAGACAGCATTTCTATATGCAGATAAGAAGTACATGTTTAAAAATCTTTTGCTTTTGAAATACCCAGATATCCACAACATATGCCTAAGAGAAAGCCAAAGAGTAAGCAAGTAGAGAAAGAAGGCAGGGAAAAAGCCTCAAGTGCAAAGAAATTCATTACATGGTCTTCAGGAAAAACTGGACACAAATGTTTGACTGTAACATTGTGGCAGGCTGTAAATACTTTATCCTCCCCATTTGATTTCTGTCATATTCAAAGAAACCAGTTTTTCCATTTTCTTCAAATTCAGTTCATGATTGATTACATGAAAGAAGAGTTCATTTCAGCCCTGCAGTCTTCACCTATAAGAAACAACTTTCAGGAACCTAGATTTGCTAAACCAGAATGTATTAAAAAAAAAAAAAAAAAGAAGGCAACGCTATACTGATCTCTATCACTGTAATGACAGATGAAAAATTACGTTATTCCACCCCAAAAAAAACCTGTGCATCATTAAGAAGATGCAGAGTGCTCTGTATTACCATCTACTTGGTTGTATTCTGAGTATGGGGCACTAATTCCTGTATGTCCTCCTGCCTTCTCTGCCAGCATACTGTTTGCAAGGGTGACACACCTTGTCCTTTATCAGAATATTTTAGAGGAGTATGTTCTGGTCTTTCTGCTTGGCCCGCAGTGTGAAGGGTTATGAAGGCTTCTCTGTGCTTGCCTCTGGTGTTGGAACAAGTCTGGCTCTGACAAGTCCTTGCTGAGAAGTTTAGATACCTTCCCCACCTCCTTGCAGGAGTCTCAGAATCAGTGCCAATTACAGCCTTCTGCAAGAAGGATAATGATAAGAATATGGATTATCAGTGAAAGACAATGAAAAAGTGACTGTACTGTTTGGTTTTATTGTTTGCAGGCAATTGCTACGGCAGCTGATTGCCAGACATCCAGTTCAGCTGCATTGGTTAAGTGCTTGAGAAACAAAACGGAGAAAGAGATGGAAGAGATAACTCTAAAAATGGTAGATGAAATTCTGCTCTACATTTGAGTGACACTTCACATGTTACTGTCGAAGTTTTCATAAATACACTGTTTGTTGTAACACTAGGGGAACTTGAAGAGAATGTAACATCTTCTTGAACTTTTGCAGGAAATGACAACACTGAGGCTATGCCGTTCCTCACTTGAAAAATGTGAACAGGTTACTTCCCTCTTTTTCTATATGGGCTTTGAGCTGCTTGTGTTTTGGTGTCACACTCTAGCATGGAAAGAATAATGGTGTATGAAGTGTCACAATTCCACCTAGAAAACCTAAACATTTAATACCATGTGTATAAGGTCAAACTCAAACCTTCTACCACTGACTTCCTAGTTCCTTTGCAATCTTGGCACAGAAATTTTCCTTCCTTGCTCCACACATCCATAATAGGATTGAACCAAATAAGAAGAAACGTAAGCTGAGCAACATCCCCTACATTTCATGACTATTCAAAATGTAATTTTAATAGTATTAATTGAACTTTTCTTTCTTTTGCAGGCTCCCTTGTTCATCAGTGCATCTGTGGATGGTGTATTTCTTCCTAAGACTCCCAAGCAATTACTATCTGAAAAAGCAATTAATGCAGTCCCATATATAATTGGTGTAAATAACTGTGAGTTTGGATGGATACTTCCTAAAGTAAGAGACTTACAATGGTTCTCCTTATATATCATTTTGTCAGTTTAAGACTTCCTATTCCATACATATCCTTTCTGCAGTTAATGAAATTTCCTGATATTGCCGAAGGTGTGGACAGAGATGAAGCACGTTACCTTTTACAGAGCGTCTTAGGATTGACTTCAAAAGTAAGAGACTATTTCAAGAATAATCTAATGCTGCTTTTTTACTGAGCTGATGCTGTTTGTAATCTTGGAGTGGTATATTTTAGAGGTAAACTTTGTGGTGTGTGACGGCTTCCTACTGTGGAAGCCTTAATTCTCAAATGAGCAGCCAACATGGCTCTAATTTCTATTGTCCCTAGCAAGCGATTAACACAGAAAATATATTCCTAAATGCTCCATCTTTTATAAAAGGAGTTATGCAGAAATCCAGGAGTGATACCTTGAGATGTTGAAAATGGCACTGAGAAATCTAGGCTTAGGCATCTTTATTTTTGGCTCCTGTAACTTGAAAAGGTCTTAGCTTTCTGCTCCTCGATGCCATCCTGAAACTACTGAATATAGAAAAATCTACATAATAGGCTGTAGCTCCATAGCTCTTGCATATACTTGCAGTGGATCATTCAGAGTCACAACTATCTGACATAAGCTTGGGACAGTAGAGCCCACATTTGTTCCAGAAGGGTTTAACTATGGCCATCTATAATAATAACTGAATTTTATGGAATCCATCAGGATTTCTTTCATGTTAGTTATTTCCAGAGAAAGGAGAATTGGCTACTATAATGTGTTCATCAGCATCACTGAGTGATATCTGTCTAAACATGCTGGAGAGGATTCTTTGTAATGTTGCCCATCTCTTTCCCTGAGAGAATATCTGGTAATTGTGTGATTCCCAGTTCTGAGCTCTGAGTTCCTCCCCCACAGCACAACTGGGATTTTTTTTTTTTCTGAAAAGAAGTTAGTGTTAATGCTGCTATTCCTTTTTATGTTCATCATCACTAAAAGAAATATCTTTTCTGTTCACTTTAGAGTGTTACTGCTGAGGTCGTCGATGTGATATATAAGGAATACATAGGGGATATAGAGGACCGCATTAAGGTGCGAGATGCATTTCTGGATGCATTAGCAGATGCTTTCTTTGTTTTTTCAGCCATTGAAGTAGCCAGATATCACAGAGGTGAGTCTCTATTTCAGCACCTCAGCATGGGGAAATGTAGAACTCCATTCTAGGGTGGGTTTGGAAATAGTATGCATCACGCTTCGTTATCAAAAGAACAGATTTGTTTTCGTCCTACCAAAATAGCTTCTGCCATTATTATCTTTAATGGCAGGTATTTTTCAGCAATAGTAGTGGTACTCTTCTTTCTGTTTTCTTTTAGATGCTGGCCACCCAGTCTACTTTTATGAATTTCAGCATCGATCCAGTTCAACTATAGGTGTTATACCACAGTTTGTAAAAGCTGACCATACAGATGAGATTGCCTTTGTCTTTGGAAGGCCATTTTTAGCTGGTGATGTATCTAAGCTTGCAAAACAATTCTTTTTTAAGGCATCATTATTAGCAGTAGTTTTATTTTCTTGAATGCTTTTAGAATAGAATTTGCTTTCAGAAATGTAAGAATAAAAATATTACTTTTCCATGTTTTATTGTCCCTTTTTAAGAAATAGCTCCTTTTCATGAAATCCATCATTTGCAGTTATATCCTAGAGTCTCAACCTCTCATAGCTCTGAGTAGCAAGTAGAACTGGTTATAGTTTATTGGAATTAAGTACATAGTTTATTGGAATTAAGTGCTTTATTACTTGTTTTCTAATGCTGGAATTTCTTCTCTTACTTTTCAGGAAATGCTACAGAAGAAGAAGATAAGCTTAGCCGAACGGTTATGAGATACTGGACTAACTTTGCTAGAAATGGGTGAGAATGAGAGTGCTAATTACATCTGAAGTTTTACCTGTGCTGTCTGAAACATGTTAACCATATATGGCGGTTTCACAAATTCTGCAGGATTTAAGATAAATACTGAAAATTGATCATATTCCTAACAATTCCAAGAAAAAAACTTTGAAATGAACCTGACTACCAAAAGAAAAGTTCTATTACTCCATCTAGTTCCAAAACTCTAATGGCAATTTTGCTATTCCACTGCAGATATTAAAATCACATAATCTGGGCTCCTGTTGATTTTCTGAAACAGAGCCTGAGCAGTTAGAAGACAACTGACAGGCTAGTAGCTAACTTTTCATTATGCTCTTTCCAGAAATCCTAATGGAGAAGGCTTGGAGCACTGGCCTCAGTATGATCTGGATGAGAAATACCTGGAAATAGACATAAAGCAAAAGGAAGCCACGAAATTGAAAGAACACAAAATGAAATTTTGGGAACAGATGATGAAACCAACCACAGAAAGGAAAGCAGAGCACACAGATTTGTAACTGTGACAGGAGATGTGATTTGCTTTTAAAATCTGAAGCAAAGCCAAACCAAATCAGTTTGTCAGAATGCAGAATTTAATAGTGAGTTAGAAACTGAATATTATGTAATTTGGTGTCATGATCACACTGATAGGAAAGAATCAAGGGAAATCTGGAAAGTTCTTGAGACTAAAAATCAATATTTAATGAAGGAAGTGGGGAACATTCAAAACTTTACAATTCTGGAAGGGGGTTATGGTAATGTCTATTTATGATTGAGTAAAAATGTCCACATACAAAATGTTACTGTTGCTTGCTATTTCCTTGGGTGGTTTTAGCACACTTGCAGTCTCAAAATACCTGAAGTTCCATTTCCTGTTTACTGCAATAAATGGTCCGTTTGGAGAGCTGCATACAATCAACATAACGCAAGGAAGAGTTGCTTTCTGACCCTTCTGTATGTTATGCCTTGGTTAAATTACACCCAGAAAGTGAAAACTGGACTCAGTTTATTTCTTCACCCCAAAGGTTTCAGATCTAAGTTTTCCTGCTTTCTGTAGCTAGACCTGCATCTTGAGGTTCTCAAGCTTTCATGGTCTGTCCTGTGGTGTGATTTTCTGTTCCTTCCTCCCTGGCAAAGAATTCGCAATTCATTGGCCAGAGGAAGGAAGCACTGCTGACAAGGCAGCCACGCATCAAGGCGGAGCGGAGAGGAAAGAAAAACGTTGTTCAGCGCTGGCTGCTTGCTCAGTGCATGGGCCCGCAGAGGGAAGGCAGATGTGAAGTGTTGCATCAGTGTAGGCACTTAAAGAACTATGGGGTCAAACCGGGCTCGTCCAGTGTTGGCCAATTCCCCGCCTGGAGGATTTTGGCCTACATACTGTGACAAAGTCTGCCTTAATGTTTAATCTCTGTATTTTCTGTAGATCTTGGTCTGTTTTGTCAAATCAGTCTACATTCTGCTAAACTGCATTTGGGCAGAGGAGGAACTTGTTTATAATCTCAAATGTAATTAAACTATGATCATATCCACTATCTCCAAAAGCAGCAGCCTAATCTACTTAATAAACATAAAATACAGGCTTCTCATTCTTACATCCCTCTAATCTTGTGAAGTTTTTGCCTCCTGCTAGCATTAAATGGTTTACCTTCTTGACCCTTTATTTTCTACACAAGGTACATGATCTCACTAGCAATGACACAGCAGATTACATGGTAGTCTCCCACTCAGCTGAACCATGGGAAAGCTCAGCTAAAGGCATTTGCCATCTCTTGTGTTTTATGAATTACAGATTTTTAAGGGTGCTTTCACATAAGCTCTAAACATGACTTTGATTTAAACTCTGATGAGCTACTTCATGCTAAGTCCATGTTTACTGTTTTTCAGTCATTCTAGATTTGCTTTGCTTTAAAATAATAGGCCTGTTTCAGCATGTCTCTCCAGAGCTTGTTTATCTAGTATATGATGAGTATGTAAAGAACTTGCAGGACCATGCAGAAATGTGAGATGTTTTTCTTGAGGCATGAGGAGATGCAGTATTTGTTTTTCCAGCCTTTGAAACAGTTAGATATCAGAGTTGAGCCACTAACTCAGTTAAGCTTCATAAAAATACCTGAACTAAGCACATAAAGCAAAGCCCAAGAATGAACCTCCTCAATGTTTCTGTTACCCTAACTCCTCAGCATGTTTTCAGCCCATGTCTCCTTCAAGATATCCTGAAGTTATCCTTGGAACAATGCATAAGCCTGCATCTATCTTTCAGGAATATTAAAACTGCTGACTAGTCCCAACACCTGAAATTCTCCTGGCAAAGCTGAGGCACTGGTCCCCAAACCTCTAGCACTGCGTAACAGGAAGTTAAAAATAACGTCAAGAGGAGGCAACATGTGTCTGAATTTGTTTCAGCTGACTTCTGTCACCACTGAAGTCTTCAGCATTGAAGTCCACAGGACACTGAAGGTTGGGAATCATTTTTAAAGAACTCAAAATGTACAGCAGAGAAAGTAGAGCCTTATATGGCAGAAAGAGAATGAATACAAATGCCCACAATGAACATAACACAGGGCAAGTGTCTGGAGAGTCTGGTCTTCTACACAGGTTTTAGGTATTATCTGCTTCACAGTTCAGCCCCGGGTAGGTCCCTGATGGTGGTAATGGCACCAGCTCTGTGTCAGGGTCTGCTAACATATGAAGAATTCCCTTCTGTTAATCTTTGAGAATACAGTGTTCTCCTAACTCAAATTTGCAGGTAGTATGATGGTCCTTTCACCCAAATGTTATTACTGCAGCTCTTGATTTAAGTATATATTTTTCAGTTCTATTATTACCAGTATTATTTAGTTTTTATTTGTCTATTAGATACTAATAATTCAATGCTGATAACAACTTTTATGACACTCAACATGGGCCAAGTTCAACAAAGTATGCAGGACCAATAAAAGCCGACTATATAGATAACACTGGCTTTGTACTTTGAAAACCTTTCTTGGCAAGCAATTTGTGATTGCTAAATCGTTTGTATACCCACTGTCAGCACTGGTAAGATAAAAAGCATTTCTAGTTGCATAAGAAATTTTAGTTTTCCTATATAATAGTGGACTTTATGTCACATCTTGCATCTGGAGTCAGTTCTGAAGCCCATATTCACGCAAAGTTTCTTCCTAAAAGTCATTGAAAAACAGAAAAGAAAGGATACTCTACATGATTGTTCATCTTGCTCTCACCCTGCCCTTCCCTCCTCTCCTGCCTTGGGAATGCTGCCCAGGAGGAAGTTTAAATTTGCAGAGTCACGATGCAGTACTGGGCTAACTTTGATTGAAACAGGTAAGATTGCACTGATCTACCTAAATACCATCTCTGAGATAAAAACTTAGGCTTAGTAAGGGGGATATTTCATAGCCTTGCCTTAGACTAACAGCTGTGGGCAGCTCGACTGCCTGGAGATAAAGAGAGCTACGTTTTAAACGCTTTGCCACGTATTGAGCGCAGTTCCAGTCGAGCTGCTGACTTGCACTTAACGTTAACGGCTTCCTCCCGTACAAAATGGCGCCCGGCGGGGGCGGCGCGGGCCCCGCCCATCCCCG